TTTCGTGCAGCTGCCACTGGAAGGATATTTCTCATTTTAAAATCTTTGACGTGCACTTCCAGTAATGTAGTGTATCTTGCTGAGTGTGTGCTTTGTGGTTTGCAAGGTGTTGGCTCTACGGCCAATTTTAAGTCCAGACTAGCTAACTACAAATCACACATTAAACATAAGCGCCGGACATGCAGTATAACAAATCATTTTATTGATGTGCATGAGGCGGATCATTCGAGCTTAAAATTTATGCTTATTGACCAACACCATAGTGAAGTACTTAAGAGTGAAAACTTTTGGATAGGCATGTTGTTGACCAACCGGAAAGGCCTTAATGGTAGTCATGATTTCGCCCAACAATAGTAATTTATTCATAATTTATTGTATATAAGTATGTTCTGTGTAAAGCTATAGGCACTCTGAAGAAGGCTGTGGCATGCAGCCGAAAATTTAGTTTTTGTATTTAATATACCTTTTTTTAATAAACTTCTTCAAACGTAGCCGTTCTGTTTGTCACATATGAAGTCTTGTCGGCTGAGCAGAGTACTGGCATTTGTCACATATATATATATATATATATATATATATATATATATATATATATATATATATATATATATATATATATATATATATATATATAAGAATAATAATGCTATTCAAAAATGTGAGTATTCAAAAATGTGAGTAGCGATTTTAGTTTCAAAGGACATGATGGAGTTGCTAACTCTAATACTATATATATATATATTATATACGAATATTCGATTTCAAATACTTCTAGTTTCGAAATCAATTGTTTTTTTTTGGTGGGGGGCCAAAATTATTCCCCTCTCTTTTATGAAACACTGGGTTGGGGGCCCGTTGCCCCCTGCGTCACTAACTTGTTTAGCCGAGCCTTGCAACAACTCAAATCTATATGGTCTGATGCTTTTCCAAACTTTGAATTTTGGAAAACGCTTAGCAACAAGGCAGTACAGCAACATTGTTACCCAGACTTATGGTAAATTATCATACAATCCCAAATAATGACTCGCTTTGCATATCATTATGACGTCATTGCAATCATTAGGACGTCACGCATGCATAATGAGGGCGGAGCCCTCATTCATACCCATCACCTCCAGTGCACCACCTCCCACCACCTCAAAAATCCGCATCAAACGGCTTATATATATTATTACTTATAAATGCTAGCTTAAACTGCATGCACATGTACATGTGCCATGCAATATACCAATATAACTCAATATACCCATGCACCACCTCCCACCACCTCAAAAATCCGCATCAAACGGCTTATATATTATTACTTATATATTATTACGGCTTATATATTATTACTAGCTTAAACTGCATGCACATGTACATGTGCCATGCAATATACATTTTCCACTTTCCAACATCAGTTGTGTATATGATAAACTCCGAGAATGAGGGATTTATGTCAGATAATGACATAAATCTCGACTTTCGAGGTATTTATCATATTTAATTCATCAGTTGAGGAGGTTTCCCAACAAAATTTTGTCTGTTTCGTCTGCTTTGAACGACGCGTTTCTGAGTTTTCCATCATCTTTTCAGCTAATTAATATTCAAGGTGATTATTTAATGAATTTAAAAATAATCACCTCGGTGCATCAAAGAAAGTCGACTCAATCATGAATTAATTCATATAATATAGACAACGAGTTCGTTCTTTGGGAACGTTCTCACTCCATAATACTCCTTCCATTCATATTATTCAACAAAAACAACCCATGAACAATTTTTTAAGAACATTTTTACTTGAAAAAGATATTTGCAAAAATATGGAAATTACGTCCAACAGGTACGAACATTGATAATCACCTTCCCAAACATAAATATAATTGACTGTTAGAACTCACAGTTAACACGAGACAGGCCGGACAATACGTGAAGAAGTCATTTTTAATAACGGAAACAGTCTATTTAACGTATTGAGCCTCTGGTTCAATGTTTAAACAGTCCAAATGTCAGTCCAATGTTGCATAACTGACTGTTTTCTTTATTAATTAATACTATATTAGCTGTGTCATTATAGATTTAATTTAATTCAACGCCACATAAAACTTTAGCATTTACCTGATCAACTCCAATTAATACTCAGCTTTTGACGTTCAAAAATTGCCAAATAATTATATAATCTTTCAAGCTTGGGAACAAATATCGGCTCCAACACAAGCAACTATTCACCAAAAGCCACGCATTAGCCGAAACTTATACAATGTTAAATTTTGTTAGGTTTTTGACGACAACTTTATCTCAGTCAGTGAAGATACAGATCAATGTGTCGTGACAGTCCTACAACACTGAATGTTTAATACTAACATATGGCAACTTATATATTCATTATTACGTAAAACTGCATGACTTACGCTGCATGGAATTGCCCGCCACATGGTTCGCCTACGTGAGAAAAAATAGATAAACATGTGCATGTGTGCTAGATTATTTGGGATTTAACAGATACTATAGATCATTCCATACCTGAAGCCCTGAAAGGCGATTCTATGATGCAGAATTAAGCTAAATGTGGTTTCTTAATTGTCTTCATTTCCCGTTGTGCATGTAGTCACCGTACCAAAATTTAAGGAAAGAGAGATTTCCGAGATGATTTCCTCTGATGGTTTTTATGCATGCACTGCATTTTAAATTTTTCAAATCTTTCATTATTCTTTTTTCCTTTTGTCATTTCTAATGATTTAAGCTGATTTTCAGGTAAAGTATAAGAGCATTGACAGGCACACGTGGAAGTTAAAAATGAATGCAAGCTAAGAATGCGTAATCTTGGGTGTATTTCCAAGCTTTCTGATGGTCTAAATATTCAACATTTTCTGGGGGGACAATTGTCCCGAATCCTACTTGCCTCGTAATTATAAATTTCGCCAATTTAGAATTGAAACACGTGCTATACTAAAAAAAAAACACACGAAATTTCAAACACTGCTGTTAGGTAACGTAAAATATAATTTTAAGAATGACAGATAATGTGCCAGACCTCCCCCCCCCCCCCCATCGACAAAAGCGAACTTAGGCAAAGCTCAACCTAGTACGGGGACGTGACAAGAAACCGCCTTACATTTTATACGTTTATAATTATAAAGAACTACTGTTATTAAGAACTTCAACAAGCAGGACGAAAGTGAAGCGGGAACAGCTAATAATATCATACTAATAGCTACTAATGCAAGAAAGTGAGCAGAAATTAATAATTAAAGTCCCACGGACGTTCTAGACGTCGCCGTAGCTCTGTTTTACAACGGCAAAATACAGATTATCACGTCTTGTATACAACGCTTACATTTCAAACTGCGGGACAACTGCTATTTTAAATTGGGTCCTAGAACTCTTCTCAATGATAAACCCAGTGTTAATTTTAATCCTTAAACTATTTTCATACGATGGATAATAAACGACAGATTTTCTTCTGCAATCATTTGGTTCAACGAGTTTGTTTGCCGTCGCCGTTGCGTTCCCGTCCTACATGCTTAAGGTCGCTAAAGTCTTCGCTACGACGTCCCTGCTTTCCACCATAAATCTAGAGTTATATGTAGGTCCAATTTATATGAGACCGGAAAGAAGTCAAACTGGGTCATATAGTGTTATTTATAATAATATTGATGTCTATACATGTGACCGGGACGGAAATAAGTCAGACTTGTCTCAAGTCATGCCGCCTGCTAAACCGAACCGACTGATCGACTTCAGACCGGCGTGAATTCAGAACTGGGATGAATGTAAACACAAATACATTTCAGACCGGTCTCGGCTTTGACATTGGAACAACACATGATTAGCAAATTAAAAGACATCTAAAAAATTAAATTGCCTGCATGGCAAGGGGAATAAATCGAAAATTTTGTGATTTTCGTACCCGTCTCGTGTAAACATGTTGACAATTTCAATTTTCATTCCAGTTTGACTTCGTCCCGGTCTCATGTAAACGGCGCATTACTACATATCGATTGTCTCGTATTATTTACGTGCGCGAACTCACGCGCCCATTCGTTTTATTCGCTCACACGCTTTCACTCGTTTCATTCCTTACTATGCATGCAAGTCAGTATCGATATTGCCCTTTTTTTGGCATCTGTCTGCTATAGACAAACTTGCTTGCGTACTTCGTCTTGATCACCGTCTATATATCAGCGGTTTATGTCAATGTATAAAACACGGACTATATGTAGCAAAAAATATCAGACATGATTTTTCCGGGCCATTACGTACAAGAATAGACGCTATTTTGACTGTTTTCAGGATAGTTCGCCCAATGTTTAGAAAGACAGATTATTCGTCGATCTAACGGCTTGCATGATCTCTGATTACAATGCATGCATGCTACTCGACTTTTATCGATATTGCCCCTTTTTTGGCATATATGGCTGCTATAGACAAACTTGCTTGCGTAATTCGTCTTGATCACCGTCTTTAGCGGCGGTCTATATCAGTGTATAGAACACGGACTAGCAAAAAATATCAGGCATGATTTTTTCCGGGCCATTACAAGTATAGACGCTATTTTTACTGTTTTCAGGATAGTTCGTCCCATGTTTATACAGAAAGACAGATTATTCGTCTAACGGCTTGCGTATGATCTCTGATTGGCTAACAGCCTACTGTAAAATCGTCATGATCAACTCAATAACTGACGAAATATGTTTTTTTTACATAAATTTCAGCGGAGTGACGTCATAACGTTGATATGAAATAGTATTGTTATATAACTAGCTTGAACAACAGACGTGATTGGTTGATTTGTGGTCATGTGGTTTAAGATAAATGAAATATATCCCGCGGGGCAACAAGTGAAAAATTGTCGCCCGCCCCGACCGGCTAAACGTACGTGAATAAACAAAATGGCGGCACTCACAATTTTATAAACTATACACATACGATTTTCCAAGTTTGTGTTTTAATAAAGAATGTGAAAAAGAAGAAAAATACAACAACAGGAATCAGGATATGCTTCTGAAACCATTCAGTCAGGTTCTTTTAATTTTATTAAACTCTTTTACACTATATAGAGTTTTTGTCATGAAATACAATTGTTGTATGAATGTTGTTGATTTTTCTTTCCTCGCTATACAGGGTGTATAAAAAAACTGAACAGATTTGAAATTGCTCTCAATTAGTATCCAGTTTTTGATATAATTTATGTAGTTTCTTTGGGTACTTACTTATAATGTAGAATAAAAAAAATTTCTCGAACTCAAATTTTGTAAACCAGGGGTGTGTGTCTTTTCCAACAAACTAAAAATGGCTTGCGCACGAAATTTAAAAGCTTTAATCATATTTTGAGTTGATAGATGGAAAAGTTATTGGGTTTTTAATTAATGTACAAAATTTTAGACAATTTGGTTAAGTTTAAATATTCATTTTTCTCTAAAAAATTAGCCTTTCTCATCATCGCATGCTTATAATTAATGCCTTTACCTAATTTGCATATTGCTGACACTATGCAAATTAGGCAAAGGCATTAATTAGCATGCAAATAGCTGAGTTTTTAAGAAAAAATGTAAGTTTATGTTAAAGGGCTTAAACTCAAGCAAATTGTCTGAAATTTTGTACAGCAATTAACAACCCAACAAATTTTCTATCTATTAACTTAAAATATGATTAAAGCTTTTAAATTTCGTGCGCAAGCCATTTTAATTTGTTGGAAAAGACACCCCCCCCCCCCCTGG